CTTCCAAAGAAAATGAGAAGAATGTGGATGCTGAAAAACAATGGGGACAGGAAGATACTGCAGATGCCGAGGTTTGAATTGGTTGAGATCCGGCGGGCGGTCAAGGCAAGGTTGCCGCCCGCCGGAAGGCGAAAAACACCAAGATCTTTAACCTATGGCTCTGATACCATGTAAGAATTTATGTATTATTGATTGATATTGATTGATTTATTACAAGATTAATTGATTAATTACAATTCCTATACAATCTATATATAGAAGAAAATGTGGTAGTAGGTGTAGTGGAGGTGATAGTGGGTTAGGTGAAGTGGAGTGTGTGGTGAAGTGGAGGTAGGTGAAGTGGAGTGTGTAGTGGAGTAGGTGAAGGTAAAGATGGGAAATTCTAACACTTTTTTTGGGCGGAATGAAGGGGGAGGATTCTACTATTGTTGGTGTTATTCGAACAGCTTGCCTAGTAGAAATTAAGGATTAATTATGATTTACTCCTTTCAACTACAAACAATATAGTACAAAGACTTCCTTTCAAGAGGGGTAAGAACAAACAACTTCAATAATTGATGAGTTAAAAAATATAATGATAATTGAGGAAGAAAAGTGAAATTAGTTAACTCTAAAACTAAGCCTTCGTTTGAGATATGAGTTGGTTTTTTAGTTTTATGGTCATTTTAGTTTGGAGCTAAAAAGTTTGGTTCGGGATAGACTTTTTGGCTTTTTTAACTTTTGTAAGAGAAAAAATGAAATAATTATAGTTTTAATATGACATTTTGTGTTATTGATTTTTTAACTCATTTTATATTTTTGTGACTATTTTAGCCCAAACCATTTATGTTAAACATAGCCTAAAAGTTACACATCGTACTAAAATATGTAATTTATGAAAATATAATACAAAAGTAATGTAACACTTCAAGTCCTGTGACAACGCCGCACACCCATCTAACTGAGCATGTAAGGCTAAGAGTCCAATCAAATAAACTATCAGTATAAATACTCAAAATAAATCTTTAATTATCATAATGCCAAAATCTATAAATAATAAATAATCCTTATCGTATAAAATTGTCCACCAAGTCCATTAATATAATCCATTATCAAAATAATAATCCAAAGTAATTTAAAATCAAATTCCTATCTCGGCACTCCCACAAGTAAAATCTCTGCACAACTCTACTCCTCAGAATTTGAAAAAAATAGAAGGGTAAGCTAGGCAGCCTAGTAAATAATGAACTATCAATACTAGTTGGATCAAGTATACAAAAAAAATAGTTGAAAACCAATAAATGCATTTTTGCTACAATTCAATAAATGAACAATTATTTTGTAAAATGGTTTTATAATTGAAAATAAACAGTGTAGCAATACAGCTGATAAGACAATAAGATAATTCAAAATAATTTTGTTGTTCAAATCGATAGTTCAATATTCAAATGATTCAATTATTCGATTCACAAAACCCAAGTCTTCGTGATTACGGTCACTCAAACCTGTGACAAGGCCCGGGACCACACATTGGTCGGTGGTAAAGCCTCAAAAGAAACTAGTTTATGTGTCAATAAATAACTCACATTAGCTATGGTCCAAATCATAGTTAGACTAGAGTGATGTTTAAAATTCAAACAATAAACTCTTTTTAAATAAAATGTTCGATATTTTTAGAATAAATATTTGGTACAAACTTTCAAAATAGTTTCACAAAATATTCAAATAATTTTCAAAATAATATTTGATACTATTTTATACTTGATTCATATTTTATTTTAAAAGAACAAAAGGGCTATAAATGAATAATTATAATTTCAAGAGATTCGATAGGAATAAAAATGTACCAATAATGATAGAGAATTACTTACCTCAATAGCTAAATAATATTCTAAAATTAACTCCAAATACTCAACTCCACCATTTCAATTATATGAACCTAATCCGTTCAAAAAAAATTATATGAACCTAATAAATATAACTTTAAATAAATTAATATTTTTATATATTTTCTTCATACACGAGATGACCTAAATAAGTGTACTTTTTGTCTTTTTACGAAAAGATGTACAAAAAAATAAAAAAGTGATGTGATGAAAAAAAGATTAAAAAATAAAAAAATAAATTATTTTAATATTGCTAAACTTAGCCTAAATATATATACCGTGCTTTAATATCCAAGAGATACTAACCAATTTCCCTAATTTAGGCTCCGTTTGGCAAGAGCTAAACGGGGCTTTTTTGGCTATTTTAGCCACAAAAGACAAAATAGGCTATTTTAGCCACAAAAAATAAAACATCACATCCAACCCATAATCATTACATTCTTCTCTCACAAAAAAAGTCAAAAAAGCCAAAAAGCCAAAAAGCCCTTCCCAAACCAAACTTTTTAGCCCAGGCTAAAATAGCTAAAAAAGCCAAAAAGTCAACCCACTTCCCAAACGGAGTCTTAACCAAAACTCTTTACCCAATATACCAAACTTTATTGTCAAATCACACCCACACACGCTGCTCCACTAGTATTCGCACAGACTGCACACTACACGTTGCACAATCCACCAAAATCACAAAAACTAGGTAACGCACATACGGATGTTCTAAAATCATCGAGTGTTTTATTTGTCAATAAAAAATTTAGGCCTCGTCGGGGAGAGATTTTTTTAGTAATTTTTAAAATTTTTTTTATTAAAATATGATATAAAAAAATTAATATATTTAAGATAATTTTTTAAATTTTTATAAAAAGATAGGCAAAACATAAGAAAAAAAAGAAAAATTTTAACTTTTTAATATAAGTTATTAACTTTTAAATTTTTTTAATAATTTTTTAATTTTTTAACTAAAAAAATTACTTACCAAAAAAAAGAAATTTTCAAAAATCAAAAGTTCAAGTGGCTTCTCCTCACTAGGTAGAGACACTTTAGCCTATTGTGGCCCAACTCCTTTCAATTCAAAACTAAACATTGGGGACAACTTGGACACTGATCAACACCATTTGTAAAGATGTTGAAATTTGAGAGGGTGACTCAATATATAATAACCTAATTCTCGAAAATTAAAATGTTAGTCATCTAAGTTACAAAAATTATAAAATCACCTATAACTAATTTCTTATTATTTTAATTATTATATAACTAAAGCAGGGATTTCACATGCAAGAAATTATTTATTTATTTATTTATTTTTAAATATTAGTAACATGTAACAAAATTGGATAAATTAAACTTTGTCTCCCTAAAGTTTCACCTATTTCCTACTTTGGCCTATTAAGTTTGATTTTTTTTCACTTTGATCCTTTATGTTTATAATCCTTCCCTCTTTAACCCTTCATGTTTGATTTTTCCCACTTTGATCTTTCATGTTTGTAATGCTTCTCACTTTACTCCTAGATTAACTTCCATCTAAAAAAGTAACAAAATTTGTTACATCACTAACACATCAGCTTCATATGTGATGTAAAAAATGCACTAAAGATGCAAAAAATAAAAAATAAAAAACAAAAAAAATTGAATTTTTTTTTAGTCTTTAGTGATTTTTTTTTTCAAATTTATTCATAAATATTATTATATTATAGATGCATCTAAATTAGATGCAGCTAAAAAATAAAAACAAATTTAACTAAAAAGAAAAAAAGTTTACTAAAGAAGAAAAAAAACAATTGTAAATTTTTCATTTCAGAATTGACAATACAGATATTTGAGTCAGTATATTTTCATTTTTTTACGTCTTTAGTAAACTTTTTATTTTTTTAGCTGTATCTACTCTAGATGCATCTATAATGTAATAATGTTTATGAATAAATTTGAAAAAAAAAAATCACTAAAGACTAAAAAAATTTTAATTTTTTGTTATCTATTTTTTATTTTTTGCATCTTTAATGAATTTGTTACATTACACGTGAAGCTGATGTGTTAGTGATGTGTCAAATTCTATTCAGTGTGTTTGGTTTGAGTTTTCTGGATTAAGTTTTTTGAAAACTAACATTTTTGCTTTTCGTATTTTTTTGTTTTTAGTGAATATTTTTTAAATTTTAAACATTTTTTTATTTTTTTAAATACACCTTACTTAGATGTATCTAAAAAGTAAAAAAATTATGAAAAAATATTTTAAAAAATTAATAAATACATACAAATACAAAAAATGTATTGAATTCTTGTATTTTTTTTGTATTTTTGATATTTAGTGAATATTTAAAAAAAAATTTACAATTTTTTTACTTTTTAAATGTATTTATGTTAGGTGTGTCTAAAAAGTAAAAAAATTGCTTAAAATATTTAAAAAATTCAGTAAAAATAAAAAAACACGAAAAATAAGGGGACTTTTCCCAAAATAAGTCAAAATATCAAGTTATTTTCCAAACTAGGTCTAGTTTAGACGGAATTCCCAAACTAAGCTAAAACACTATTACAAACCATACTTTCACTGTTTCTAGGCTCCTCCCGCGAAAAATTTGTGAAATAGTAAAAGCGTGATTACAAACAACGTTTTTAAGTAAAATTTGTTTTTTTTCAAAAAAACGTGATTTCTAATCACATTTTTACTGTTCATCAAAGAGTGGCTGATAATCACGTTTTGAAACAAAATGTGAAAACGTGGACCAAAACACATAGGGCTGAGCAAGGAATCTGTAAAATCCGTAATCCGATCCAGTCCAGTCCAATCCGATAGGTTTGGATTGGTTTTTTAAATCCGCGGTTCGGTTCCGGATTGAAGAATTAAAAATCCGTAGTACACGGATTGGTTCTGGATTAGCCCTACGGTTTCGGATTGGAACCGATCTGGACCGTATATAAATAGTATATATTTTTATTATACATCCTCCCCCATAGTATCTTCTCTTATTTTATATAAAATCTAAACTCAAACCTAAAACCGTATAATATCTTCTTTTATTATTTTTGTTTGTTAGTTTTTAATTTTAATTTGTAATGATCTAAATACTTACGGTGGAACCAGTTTTCTTATGATTGTTTAAATTATAGAATAGTATGTGACTATTATAGAACGACATGTTGCTATTGTGAAATTAATATGATGCTATGTTTATGTTTTATGAAATTAAAATGTTTTTTTTTTTTTTTGTTATTTAATTATGTGAATCCGTAGTCCTAAATCGATCTAATCTGTGTTTAAATGGATTAGTTCGGATTGGTTCCATGATTTAAACGGATTAGATTGGTTCCAATTTTTCGGGAACCGTAGATAATGAATTGGTCCTGATTTTACCCCAATCCGGACTATGCTCACCCCCATTTCCAATGACCAACCAATCTCAGTGCACAGAGAACAATGATCTACTCTGATCTCTTGAGGGCATTGAGGAACCTACAGCTGACACTAACAGTAATAAAAAAAAAAAAAAAAACCATACCTAAAAGAAGGTACTGTAAGTTCTGAAGACTTTGAAAACAGACCATGCTCTGAGGTACCAATTAGATGATCATAGCCACCCTGTAAAATTAAGTATTGTAATTTGATTGAAGAAGCCCGTGTACAAAAGAGCAAAATCCATTGCCATTATTTTATTTCATGGAAATAGCATATGTACCTTATATGGGCTATCATTGAAAACAGAACTGATACTAGAAGCATGTCGCACTTTATAACCCCAGTACATTCCCAGTTCTTCCCTAGGCTGGGAAGATGAGACAACCTGGCGCGGTAAATCTAGCAAAATGAAATTGTGTAGTAGTAAACTACATGAGTAATACAGAACTTTGTAATCCAAATGAAGAATTTAATTGCACGCATGATCAATAACCATTAGTATAAAACTAAATTAAACTTCAGAATTTAATGATGAAAAGGTAGTGTAAATGCTGAAGCACTAAAATTATACTATAGGTTTAAATTATAAATGAGGGAATGAAGTAAGTAGCATGCATCATACAACTATGAGTTGAGACTGTACTTTCTTTTTACCTAAAATAATTTGGCAAGAGATAGTTTGGGAGGGGCGGGGGGAAGGAAAAAATATTCAACTCCATTTAGATGCAAATATATGGGGCCAAAAAAGGGGTGCAAAAACTTAAATGTTAGAATCGAGCCATGAATGATTTCAACTTCAATAATGCAGCTTATAAATTGATGGCTAACATAAGACAATTCCTGTTCCTCTCTCTCTCTCTCTCTCTCTCTCTCTCTCTCTCACACACACACACACACACACAAAACAAAAAGAAGATTTTTATTCATTACCAGCGTCCAAATTGCGATTGGTTCCCATTGCTACAGTCACTCTTACTCCAGGTTCAATTACTGTATCAATCAAAACATTCTGCACAACATGACATCCAATCAACAATCACCTAAATTAAGCTTATAATCCAAACTGCCATATTATGCTTTCTTCAAGTAACAGAGGAGACATTTTATAATTGTGTCAGTATCACTATATATGGACAAAATTATAACCTTCTTATGCTTCAAAATGAACTATAAAACAAACATATTTATTCCATAAAAGAAAGGTGGAAGCTATCAATTGGTACCAAGTAAATGCTATATATATAAATGCTAAGCAAACTTTGATATGAGAAGGCCATACTTTACTAAGGCCCACGTCAACTAGTGTGCTTGCAAAGTTTGGAGCTTGTTCCTTAAGGGTGACACCTACAAAATGACGACAACATATCAAAGGGTGAGTCAATGATCAACAAAAAAAAAAATCCAAACATGTCCTTAAGTATGGGATTTACGGGTAAATTTTCCTAAACAAAATGTAGTGAACTTTTAGCTGATTTTGGCTTTTAAAAAAAGTCAAAAAAAGAAATGGCTTATTTCTAGCCTCTCAAACGTGCCATAACTAGGAGGCATAAACCTTGTACAACCAAAGCATATACAAATCCCCCATAAAATCAATAATCGAAGAGAAACCAAATGGAACACTCTCACATCCAACAAAACAGGAAACAAGTATAATTCCCTTTAAACAATGGATAGGGGGTTAACAGTTACTCTCAAGAGACAGAAAAATTTTAACCTTGAAATTTCAATGGCTATGTAGTATGTAATAAGCAAAGGCATTGCCACATATAATATCATAGTGACTACTACAACACACAAGAATGGAGAATGTAAGGAGAAAGCAACCTTCACGATATGGAGCCCATTCGTGCTTGCGTAAATGATGTGGAGCATCAAGTGGGGGCAAAAGACCCTGCAAAAGTCCAGGACGAGAGCAACTTGTATGTTTTCATGAACTAACAAGAAACAAAAGAAAAGAAATACCAATCACATTTAAGCAAATTAGATATTAAGTTCACACCACAAAACGCAAGGTGTTATGCTTTGGAAATAGACTTTTTCTCAAATACTGTGGTGTCTCGAGATATTGCAAGATCCTTATAAGAAAAGCTGCGCCACTTTCATTATCATCTGAATTGTCATGCACTGTGGTAACACTTGAACCATTCACTGAACTACTATTGTTGTCAAATACAACCACCTGTTTATATAGGAATAGTTAAACCCCCCTCGAGCAGTAATGTAATACTATATTCTAAGGTATAGAACAACAAGCAAACTTAAGTAAAAAAGAATTTTTAGAATCCTATAAAACATGATTTAATAGCGGTGCGGGTCGGTGTGGTTTGGAAAAAAAATAGAAACCGGCGGATTGATGAAAGTGTTACTAGAATTTGTCATTTTTCTTACCAAAAACCGGCGGTTCAATTGACAAATAATAACGAATTTGCCTTGGCGGTGCGGTACGGTGCGGTTTTGGCGGTTTCGGCGGTATTATGCACACCCCTACGAAGGAGGGCCATGAATTTCTGCATAGTTAAAATTTTTGAATTAATTTAAATTTTTTGTAAATAATAATCACAAAAAATATTTTAAAAAAAGACGCTATTTATAGCGTTAAAATGAAATTTATGATGAGTTCTTAATAATAATCATGCTGTCAAGTCCACTATAGACCAGTGACAAGTTTGGTCCAATGAAAAATATTCTTAATTATTGCCCAACGGCTCATGCTTTTGTCAATTTGTTTCATTTTTTAAATTTATGGATAATATATATATTACAAAAAAATTGTATTAATTAATGCAATATAATTATGTCATTCCTTACGTTTGTTTAATAGCTTGTGCCACGTGCAGGCTTGACATGCTAGGCTTACATAATATGATTAGTTTAGCAAAAATTATTTATAGCTTATTTTATTTAAAATTTAAAATTCTATCATTTAGTAGTTGTTTATTATTTTTATTTTTATTTTGGCTTAAAAAAACTAAGTTTGAGAATTTTTTCTTTTTAAGATATCATTTTCTAAACTATAAATAAGTTTTATGAGACGAGCCATCGTAGATAGTTTGATTTATATATAATGATGTTCTATTTTTACAGAGGATTTCTTTATAGTTAAACCCACATCCTAATATGACTATAAGCTTAACAATAATATATGTATATATATATATATATATTTTTTTTGAGGTTTCGCCTGACTAATTTCCAAGTACATGTAGTCTTTTTATACTGTATATATTAATTATCAAGCCTAAAGCATGGAGGTAATCTCTAGTAGAAAATGAAAATTTTAACTAGTGATCAATGCTTTTTGAAATTTAAATCTACAATTATCAGATAATTATCCAATATAAACTTGAAGATAACAATTGATCAACACTTTAAAATTCAAATTCATGACAACTAGATAACAGAGTTGCTTGGTAGATAAGTGGTCTGGCCCATACTAACCTTGGACCACCACATGCTGCATCATACATAGTAGATGTTTCTTAATTTTTTAAGTTTTTATAAGTTAAAATAGCTCAATTGCAATGGGTGTCCATCCATGTCCTAAAATATCCAGTATTATATAGTTAAAATATCAATTCGTTAAAATAGTTTAAGGTTGGAAGAGGGTAAACAAAAAAAAAAAAAACAATTAAAATAGGCAATACACACAATCAATGATTGTCTTAGTGGTTAGTCCATCAACATGCCACATGTTCTTTGAGAGAGAGAGAGAGAGTGAGAGCTTTGTCCTTTATTTACTTCAACTTATATGTGTTATCATGGGGATTCAGTATAATCTCTACGATTAACATATAAATTAATGGCTAATCCGAGGTTTCAAATTATAAAATATGAACTAGGTTCAATAAGATGTATGTTGATAAGATTACTTATATTATAAAATGTATGTTGATAAGATTCTTTCTAGTGTAAGCTTTAATTATCACCTAAGAGAAGCTAAGAAACTGAAGTACTTGATTAATTCTATCAAGAACTCTAAAATAAGGAGATTATTATGTGATAAACACTAATAAACAAAGTACAAATATGAAATTATACAAAACATAATTGTATCCATTCTTTTCAAACCAAAAGGCCTAATAGCTCTTATTACTTAAAAATACTATTACTCCGTTTTAGCATGTTTTTTTTGTATAAAAGTTTCATTTGCAAATCATTTTTCTTTTAATTTTAACATCCATGCACTTGAGAAATTCACAAACACAGCCAAAAGATTCCATGAAAATTCAAAAATCATATTGTACTTAATAGACTTTATTATCCCCAGTGGAAGAAAAAAAAAATTGCAACAAATTATTGTGTAGAAATTGAAAACAGACAAATCAACATGTAGAGGCTCAGCACGCATACGCAATTCAAATATAGAGATTAGATTACAGATATCAAAAGAAATTTAAGAGTCGTATACAGATTAATTTAAAATAATACGGCTAAAATAGTTATCTAAAGTTGAAAAGATGTCTACTTAAATCCTCCCTCCAAGTATTTCTGTCCAACCAACACTAAAAATTCTTCCATCTAAAATTCATTCATCCAACCATAGGGTCCTGAGATAAATTCTTCAGTACAAAGCACACAAATAAAAAAGACAAGCTCATCAGCCCTAATCTATGACCCCTTTTGGATTCATCCTCAATGTCTATCACAGGTATGCAGAGTCTCAATTTACAGAATACTATAATTATTTCAGTTTGACATCAACTTGGAAAGCAATATGGCAATTTGCAAGAATATACTTTTTTGACAAAAAAGATCCACAACATTATAGTTGCATAAATACATTATTCAAGTGGAGCCAATTCAATATTGATGGCAGAAACTGACCTTAAGAGAGTGGCAATAATAGACTTGTGTGCAATAATAGAGGCTCATGCTTCTTCATCACTTAGACAAGACTCTGTTTTTGCTTCATTTGATTCCCAAACTAATGGATGAATATTGAAGACAAATTCAACTCCTACAATAATTATAGTTGAGTTTGAAATGACATTTTATACAGTTTTTGAACCGGACATTTTATACAGTTGCTAGAAGTTTTTTTCACATATATAGAACCTCTATGTTAAGTTCAAAGAGACTGAGTACAAAATTAATCTCTACATGCATTAAAAGAAGAGAGAGTCCAAGTCTAGTATGAAATAGCCAAATAACCCCGAAACACAAAAAGATAAATAAACAAAAATAACATTGCATGAAGAGTTAATGATTAACCGATGAACGTACACAATGAAAGGAAATGAAAGAAAAGAAAATAAGGCCAAGTTTAGCTATCTTAAATAAGTACACACTTTTTATCTTTTTTCCATCACATCATCTCTCTACTTTTCTGCACATCTTTTCGTAAAAAGACAAAAAGTGCACTTGTTTAGGTCATCCCAAACAATTATTATCTTAATAAAGGCATAACCAATATTATGCAATCTACAAGTAAAGAGATAGTAATTCAGCTCAGCCGACTAGTTCAAAGCAATGAACAAGACATAATTAGATGGGTTTCTCAGTTACATAAAGAACAAATTTCACTGTTTGGTTGTCGAGAAACCCAAGGGAAGACGTTCAGAATTAAAGAAAGAAAGGTTCCAATAAACTAAAACAAATCATGATCATTCTCACAGGACTTAATATGGGTCTGCTTCAAATTTCATCAATATTTATGGTGGTTAAAGTTCTTGAGGCATAATTTGCTTTTGCATTTAAAATTGTCACAATGTGGCAATAGAAAATCTCAAAACATGGAACAATGAAGCTGACATTTTGCATTTTGAGGCCGATAAGTATATAAAAATGCACATGCACGAACACATGCACACTCACTTGGAGGGCAAAATATTCATATGATATGTTGGCTAGTTTGAACTATGGATAAAGTTAAAAGCATTTATGATTCTGAGATAAACGATAACCTGATAACCTCCTCATCACCCACAACAAGCTGAGTGAAACACAAAAGACATTGAGAAATGAAATTCTACGGAGAGCGGTAATTACCCCAAGCAACCACACAAGAATTCCACTCCTTATCCTAGATCCCATATTCATAACAGCATGCCAAAAATAATTGCTTTCAAGAGAGAACCTCCATAACCATTTGTCAAGAAAACACAATATTATTATTTTCTACAATATAAACCCTCTCCTTGTTCTTATGAAGAGAAGCAACGTTGCAATTCACCAAAATACAGTGTTTAAAAAATAAATAAATTAAAAATTAAAAATTAAAAAAGATATGGAATTGTGAAAAGGTAAGGAAAGACAATATCTAGAACAAAAAACACATACATTAGTATAAACAGGGGCGGAGGCAGCATAGGCTAAGGGGGTCACGTGCCCCCTCAATTTTGTAATTTTTTTTTTTTTTCTGTCATGGATAAAATGTATTCTGTTTTTTTTTTTTTTTCTTAATATGTTCTTTAGCTGATGATTTATTATATTATTCACAATAAGTAATTATTTGATACTTTGAGAACACTATGTGATATTATTTATGTAATAGTTTAATCAATAGTGTAATGAAAAATATTATAGATTGGATATAATTAACTCATTATTTTCAAGTAGTTGACATACCACTTAGTGTGATTTGTGATTTTCTATGCTTTGAGCATCACGTAGGTAACGTCATATGGTACTCTAAGACTGTTTAATAATTTTCATTCAAAACACATCATTTATAAACAATGTCATCTCTTTAATATTTTTTTGTCAAATAAAAATTAAATAGATTCTCTAATAATTTGTGCTGTAAATGATGTATTTTTATTTTTTAAAATTAAGAATTTTGATCCATAATTTTTGTGCTAAAATTGCAAAATTACATCATCATCTCACACCGAACTATTCCACACTATTATAGAATTTTGATTTGTTCTTATTAATAATGAATATGTAATT